GTGGTGTAGACTTGTCCGCGGTTCATTCGGATCCGAAATTGGAACCAAATTGGAGGTTCACCGTTCAGCAAAAGTATGAAATCAGAACCAGAATTGCATATTAACGGTTCTAGTTCGGTTCTGAACTGGTGGTTCCGATTTCGGTTTGGTCCTCTGGTTTTCAATTTTGTTACTATAATATTATTTTTGTTCATTGATGGCTTTTTATGTAGTTAATTAAAGCATTAAAGATATAATAATCGTATTTTTTCATTTTTCTTTATTTATTTTTTTAAATTCATTTATTTTTTAAATAAAGTGAGTAATGGGTAATAAGATTATTAAAATGAAAGAATTTTCATATATATTTATTGATAGCCGTTAAATTTACGTGTGTTTAACATAAGTATTTATAAGTATTTGTTGAAGAAAAGAAGAGAAATCGGGCAAATACCTCCAGAATGAGAGCTAGAGCATAAAACATTGCGATGAACGACTTTTTGGACCAAGAGAATGACGTTCTGTCCATAATTTGAGTATAACTTATTCTATAGAACTAGAAATCACTCGATTCGAGTTTCATGTGAATGCTAACTCAATAAGGTACAAATGTTATGAAGACGTCATGGCCAAAATATGAAAGGAACAAGACTTAATCAACCAACAAAGTCAGATGTTGCTGGTGGGATTTCAGGATGCATACCTCTCAGTGTTTTATCCATATCTTTTGATTGGCTGAATAAAATCACGTCATTCAAGTTTTGATGAATAGAAGACTTCATTATCTACAACTTTTGTAAAGGAATCATGTCCAAATTTGTAGCGGAACATCCCCAAAATCCCAGGACAAAACCGGCGCCGGAATTTCACCAAACCGGCGCCGGTCTGATGTTTTTCGCACATAAATGACAAACCAGTAGCTTAACCGGCGCCGGGTTACCCTTATAACCGGCACCGGTTAGGTCTATTTTTCAGATTTCCCTGCGCATAATGAAGAACCGGCGCCAGTTGGGTCTGAAACTGGTGCTGGTTAGGCCTGATTCTGCATAAAACACAAAGACGTGCAACAATATTTTGATGGGAAAACTTCACCTTCTTCATGATCTGATCAAATATATCTTCCATGCCTAATTATTGGGCTCGAATAGACTAAAAGATGCCAATATTTAGCCTATATAAAGCCCCCAATTCATCAAACAAGATATTCAACCCATCCTTGAAGCTTAAATTTTACTTTTTATATTTTCTTTTTGTATTCTCTTGAAGTGTTGGAGAAGAAGCTATTTCCCTCCTCTACAATTGGTTCTAGGTATTATTTCTTGTATTTTATTGTATTTCATTGTTCTTAATTACACTTTTGTAATTAGCTAAGGCTAGGGATGAACTTCTATGCCCATTAGGTGTTTGATAAAAATTCTAAACCAATAAATTGTGATTTATCCTTTACATTTTGATTGTTTATGACTATGGTGTACAACATAGAAGTATGTTAAATTTAGTTTATGCTTGCAATTTACGTTGAAGTCTAAACTATGAACATTAAAAGATAAACATATATATTATCAAGAATAGAAATATATCCGGTATTATATGATACGGGTGTGATGTCTTGATATTCAACGGGGTTTTCGGTAGATGAATGTAAGCCGTAACGGGACTTATACGTAATGAAAGTCATTGTTTTGTGAAGTACAGGGGTCTGGGAGCTAAAGGGGTGTGGATGACTTAATTTAGAGAAAGGGGTATTATATATAACTATGGGAAAACTATAGATGCAGAGTTGGTGTAGGACACTTCAAGTAAAATCTGCTAGCAGAGAGATAATTATCGAGAGAGAGATAAGTATAGATGGTCTCCTTTTAAGTTTAGAAGTTTATATTTTTATATTTAGGAATAGCGTACGTTGAGGACTCTAATCATTAATTGGACTCTAATCCTATTATTTAGAAATACTCTGCCCCTAAAAAAAGAGATAATGATCCAGGGGTTCTTGTTTCGATAAAAATAAAAATAAATATGTATGAAAATATCTAAATTAGCATAATTTTAGCAGAATATAACTAAAACATAAAAGTGTTACAAATCAATTCAAAAACATTATTTCTGAACAGACGGTCAGACGGTGGTTGAATATATGCATTAACATGCATAGGAAATTAGTTCATGAGATCGGAAGAAGCTAATACATTGTCAAAAAACAGAATCTGGGATGAAATTACAATTGAAATTGATTTGAAATTAAAGAAAGTATATCTCTTGGGTTGGAAATTAACTAAATAAAAATGAAAACCTGCGGATGTAAATGAATAGTTTGAGACATATAGAGAAATCGATGGAACATAACCTTGGAGTCGAATGTATTGGTTGAGCCGGGAGGTTTGGTGGCGGTAATCTTTCATTCCGGCAAGGAATATTTGTCAAACAAAACTGAATTTGGGAACAAATTCAGTAGCAGAAAGAAGCTACTGATGAAGAAGGGAAATAAGAGAACTACAAAAATGAAATGGAAAGAAGAAGATAGATATTGCAGAAGAAATGGTGGAAATCCAGGGATCGGTGATAAGAGAGTGATAAGAGAATAGTGGAAAAGAAATGAAAAGAAGAGGAAAGTTCATTGTAGAAATTGAGGGGTCGGTGATTAGGAAAGAAACGGAAAGTGAAAAGAGGGAGAGTAGGAAGAAATATGAACGGTGCAGATCATTTCGAAATGAAGGGTGCAGATGCATTTGTATTCCTATTAAGTACTCCCTCCGTCCCCATGTCCCATTTTACCATATTGAGATGTCCCTATTTAAATGTCTCATACCTCATTTGGTAAAGTTTGTGTGGTTCAAAATCATTCTTACTTTATTCTTACTTTATTCATACTTTATCAATTAATATCAACCACACAAACTCACTTTTCTTAAAACGCGTGTCACCCTCTTCCGGGACTTTTAAAAGGGGACGGAGGGAGTATATAGGATAGGATTATTATGGCTAAAGTTATTACACTTGAGAGATTATTTTTTAAACAAAAAAATAATTAGTAATTTTTATAATTACATTCTTATAATTTTACACTATTATAATAATTAATTACACTTATATATGATCTAATTTTCACACAGAATTAATAATTTTTATGATTTTTCCAATGGTATCCATATTGCAAATAAAAAAAATTGAAAAAAAATCATTTTTTCTTAAATATATTTTTAGCCAGTTTTTTTATATTTTACACATATAATATTGGTGTCATATAAAAGATCATAAAGAATTAAAAATATTGATATATTTATTGAAAAAATTGAACTAAAAACGGAAAATTTATAATAATAGCAAAATTCAAAAAATTGTTATGCCGTGTGGCAGCCCAATAGGGTTGGGTGAACAATAGTTGAAAGGTATCTCATTTTTACCCACTCATTGTGTTCAAATGAGCCAATCATATAAATGAGTTACTCTACTTAAATGAATTGCCCCTGCCCCATTTAAGTCACACAATAGGGGATAAAAATGGGGTACTGATTGTATTTTCCAAAAATGATATACTATCCTTCATTCTTTAATAGTTGTAATTGTTTGACTTTCACGTTTGACAACGCACATCTTTGGCCGTAATTATATTTATTTATGTATTAGTAAAAATTATAAAAAGTTAATACTTTGAAAATTCACATTAAAAGAAATTTAATAACATTTTATACATAATAATTTGATTATATATATTAATATAATATCGTGGATAAAGTAAGTGCGTAAATAGTGCAAAAATTGCAAGTTTTAAGAAACAGGGGAAGTATATCATATAAAGTTGGAATCTTTGTAGAATACGTCAATAGCTTTTTTTAATTAAACAATACTTCATTAGATATTAGCTAAAGATACTAGAGAATAAAAACATTTCATCGTATTACATGACGTTGCTCATGTTATGGTTAGAGTTGCGAGTTCTATGATTGATTGTCAAAGTTGGTCATCAGTTCCTTCTTAAATTATTACGGGAAAAGGTGCAAATAGGTCCATATACTAACAAAAAAGGTCAAACAAGCCCTTATTTAGGAGGCTTTGTCCGACAGTCGCCATTTGGAGTGGTTCCCGGTGGAATTTTTTGATGAAATTTTTTGATCATCTTATTCATTAAGTCTAGTTTACTCATACCAAATTTCAGCAAAAACTTCAATCGGGAAGGCATTCAAATGAATTCTTGAAAATAACTGCTCAGTTATCTTCAAGAATTTATTTGAATGCCTTCCCGATTGAAGTTTTAGCTGAAATTTGGTATGAGCAAACTAGACTTGATGAATAAGATGCTCAAAAAATTTCATTAAAAAATTTCATCAGGAACCACCCCAAATGACGACGGCCGGACATAACTTCCTAAATAAGAGCTTATTTGACCTTTTTAGTTAGTACATGGACCTATTTGCACCTTTTCCCAATTATTACTAATGTATTAAAATTTGATTTAATTAATAGTAGTTGATTTGATTTCCTACAAAAAAAAAACATATTTATGACTTATATAGACTTATAGAGGAATGCGTCAACAGTCAACTAAATGAAGTTGTATAAAACTTTCGCTTTCTCATTGTATAGAAATTGTTAAAAAAATAAATAAATTGTTATAAATATAGGTGTAAAAAATGTTGTGAATTTCAAAATAGAACTATCATGTTTTTTATCCCCTAAATATGAGTAATTAATGTCATTTTTTGGAATTACCAAACTTTAAATATGACAACATTTTCCAAACTTGATTACTTAATAGTAATTACTCCTATTTAGGGAATAAAAATATAACAATCTCATTTTAGAATTTACAAACATTTACACCTATTTCGAAATTTTTTTCAAAAGAAAATCATATGAATTCAAATGGAACTGGTTTCTAATGTGATGACATATTTTTAGTTGTATTTGGCAAAAGTATTAGTCTATTAGATGTCTAATATTTCTAACACGCATGTAGTTGAGTAATTTGGCTAAAGTAATTGCAGAGCAATTAAAGAGCAATTAAACGAATTCGGATGTTTAATTAAACGAGCAATTAAATAAATTTTCACTTCTTTTGCCTCCAAATAGATTTGTATTTGGATTTCCACCATATTGTCTCTATGTTATTGATATTGGGATAAGGGTCAGATAGGGCCTCGAACTCGAAAAAAAATGTCAAATAAGGTCATATTTTGGATGCTCTGTCTGGCCGACGCCATTTGGGGCGGTTCCCGATGGAAGTTTTTGATGAAATTTTTTGAGCATCTTCCTCATTAAGTCTAGTTTACCCATACCAAATTTCAGCTAAAAACTCAATCGGGAAGGTAGTCAAATAAGTTTTTGAAGATAACTGTAAAGTTAAACAACGCCGTACATTTTGAAAAATTATTTGACTACCTTCCCGGTTGAATTTTTAGCTGAAATTTGGTATGGGTAAACTAGACTTAATGAGGAAGATGCTCAAAAAATTTCATTAAAAAATTTCATCGAGAACCTCCCCAAATGGCGTCGGCCAGACAGAGCATCCGAAATATGACCTTATTTGACATTTTTTTTCGAGTTCGAGGCCCTATCTGACCCTTATCCCTATTGATATTCTATAAAAACCTGATAAATTGTCGCTTGTGTTTCTCTAACATCGTTCATGAGGCTATCTCAACCTTCTAAATTTAGGCTATTTTTCCTTTCTCTAGACAGTTACAACCCTTACGAGTCAGGAACAGAAATCTAAACCAAATCTCTATTTTCTTGGTTTATATTTTTCCTCACCTCAAGCATTAGTCAAACCTTGTACGGAGTAGCTTTTAGCTTTTCAGTGTCCTACAAAAATAGGAAGACGAAAATAACAAACAAATCTTTCACAGCTCATCATGACCTTGTGGTAGCTCACTGTTCAGCATTTTCAGTTTAACTTCGAGTTCCTGCCAAATTGGCATTATTTTACACAATATTAGGAGTCAGCGCATATATGTTTCACATTTACTAGACAGACCATTGTATAAACCAATATGAAAAACACTCAAAATACAGAAGAGGTAAATAACAGGCCATCTTTTACTTTGGGCCAAAATAATTACCTTCAGCTTTTCTTCTACACAGACAGCTGGTGTAGATAAAAATGCAAGATATCTGTTCCACAAACACGGGGTTAGATTTTTTTATTACAAGAGTACTCCTAAAGGGGGGACATGTGTTGTGAACAGAAAAATAAAATCAACGGGTTAAACCGTTGCCCAGAAAATCAACGATAAAAATACCATTGCCCAAATCCAAAAGGCTAAAACCAATTTTATTCCCAGATGAGTCAAAATGAATCATAACAAGGGGTTTAAATACTCATCTACTTATTCTCAAACTAGGAAACAAAATCCTAGAAATCCCAATCAACTCCAACTAGGAAACAGAATAATAAAGATCCTAATCAACTTCAAATAGGAAACAAATACCGAGTAGGGTTGGGTCCGAAAAACCGAAAAACCGAAAACCGAACACCGAATCAAATTAAATCGAACCGCGACCAAAATAAACCGAACCGCTAAAAACCGAAACCGAATGTAAAAAACCAAACCGAACCGTAGTTGTTTGGTTCGGTTTTGGTTTTAACCCTTCAAAACCAAACCGAACAAACCGAACTAATTAAAATATGAAATTTTATTTGTTAATTTTTAAGCATTAATCATAATATCATCAATAATATTTTATTTTCTTGTGCTAGAGAAATAATGTTTGTGTTATGTTTAGTTTAGTTTATAAATGCATTTACACATTCATTGCTCATAATAATGTAGCTATATTGATCGATTATGTCTTTTATGTATGCATGTTGTAATTTGTTGCATGATTATTTTTTTTACTGGTTATTAGTAGTAATTAAATTTTATTTTTATGTAACTTACATTTTTTATATTGATAAAACAAATAAATATTCATCTCAGCTATATCACATAGGATGTATGTATTCATGAATTTTTTTCAAACTAGTCACAAACAATGTAAATTAAGAATATATACACTTATATCTCTCCCACATACTCATATAATTCAAAGCATATTTATTTATTCTTATTTTTACTTTATTTATTCTAGTATGCTTGCATTTTTATGTACTATGTTTAATCCCTCCAACTATTATACATACACACACATCAATTTTAAATCAAATGAAAATTTTTTAGTAAAAACCGAAAAAACCGAAACCGAACCGAAACCAACCGAACCAATCAAACCGTGGTTCCGAGTTTTGGAGTGTAAAACCGAACCGAAACCAAACCGAACTTTTACTTTGGTTCCATATTTGGTTTTAGGTCAAAACCGAACCGAAAGAACCGAACCGAAAGAACCAAACCCACCCCTAATACGGAGTAATAGAAATCCTAATTAACTCCTAATAGGAAACAAATATTATAGAAACGGAAATTGTCCTAAATAGGACTAATGAGTTCCTAAAATGCACAAATAAGACTACTACTTTTTAAATTCCCTAAATAGGACTAAACATTGATTTTCTACCCTAAATACCCCTAAGAGTATTAATTCATAATGAAATGCTTTAAATCATAATAAAATCATAAAAAAAAACGTAAAAAATATTTAAAACACGTAAAAAAATTATAAAAAACTTATAAAACATTTATAAACTAGCTTTCAAGCACGTGCGATGCACGGGCAGATGTAATTTAGCTAATTTGAAATTTGATTTCTTTCGGATCATATGTAATGTGATTTAAAAGAAAAATAAATTTAGTCTAATATATAGCCTGTTTGATAATACTAAAATAAATTGAATTAACTTATTTTACTCAAATTGATTAAATTATGACTGAATGAGCTAAATGAGAGGAATCATGAAAAAATATGTAAAATATATTCCATTTGTGAAGCCAGAAAAAGATTATATGAAAAATAGTTAAATTGTCTTCTACATAAGCATCTCGAGTAAATATAATTGCTATGAACCCGATTTTAAACGTTTAATATAATCTTATGAAGATGGATATTCATAGAAATTTAATACGGAGTATATATTAAGTAAAATAGTCTAAATATAGAGCTTGTTTTTTTAAATTGTAAGCCTAAATGTATAAACGTATACTATAACATTTAATTGTTATAATGGAATTAAAACGTATAATTCTAACACATAATTCTAAGCCTAAACGTATACTATAACATTTAATTGTTATAGAAATTAAAAGGTATTATATTTTTGGCTAAGAATACCTGTCATATATAAACTTAGCCTAAAATAGAGCCTATTTAATATAGTACTTTCTACGGATTTTTGTTTCCATATCAATATGCAATAAAAAATAGAATCTAGCTAATAAAAATAGAAGGTACAAATTAACTAAATAATTAATATATATAATGACATGGCAAGATTATGTGGCGCTTTGTATGCTCTTAAAAAGTTCCTCTTTTATATATATATATATATATATATATATATATATATATATATATATTGATTAAAAAAATTTAATTTGTATTTTTTTTATTTTTTTTTAAAATAATAAAAAATAGTAAAAACCCATAAAAAATGAAAAAAATTATTGATACCTTTCCCACCGCCTCTCGCCGCCTCCCAACACCACCACCTCCGATTGGTGAAATTTCTTTCACTTTTGGTAAAAAAATGCCAAAAAGATGGCATAATTACACTTCAATATGCCAACATTTTCATTGAATATGCCATCATTATATCATTATTTAAAATATTGGTATATTTTTCTCCGGTGATGGGAGCTGGTACTGCTGGGGGTGGCAGGGGTGGTAATGTTTTTTTTTTAATTTTACGATTTTTTTTTATTTTTTTTATTTTAAAAAAAAAATATTTTTTTAAAAAATATTTTTATTAATTTTCTATTACTCCGTATTTTTTTACGATTTTTAGTATTTTTTCTATTTTTATTATTTTTTATGATTTTATTATTAATTAAAACATTTCACTAGTTACAAGGGTATATTGGTCCAAACACACGTAAATAGTCCTATAATTCCTATTAAGGGAATTTAAAAAATGTAGTCCTATTTGTGCAATTTTGCCACTTTTTAGTCCTATTTAGGGAATTGACTCTATTAGAAATCCTAATTAACTCTAAATAGGAAACAAATCAGGAAAATTAAATAGAATAAATATTAACTAAACAGCCCGCAACCAGCCCACGAAGGTGGGCTCAAGCCCGTCCCCGCCTTCAGTAAACCCACGGAGGCTTTTGCCCCTCTTCTTCCAAGCCCAGATTCTGCTTCATATCAACATGACAATTTCGAGTTTTAAAATACCCTGATTATGTGGTGTAAATTTAGTCTCGGTAATTTGAGGTGATGATTTTAGTCCTATTCATACCTAATGGATCCCTAACAACTGGGACTAGAGCCATCACGTCAGTATACTATATATATACATTGTGTTACTGAAAGACTAAACCTACTTACCTACATCAAGAGTACAATCCAATGGTTAAAGTTCTCAATGGGCAAATGCATGTGAAGAAGATACATTTGTTAGTTCACAACGAGAAAATATAAGGAACAAGATGATAGAGTTTAAGAATCTTACTCGCACCGGCTGGGCTCATCTACTTCAGTTACCTCATGTTTCAAACCACATCTTAGTTTCACCTGCATGATAACAAAAATGCACGGCACTATAGGAAGTGAATTTTGAAGGGGGGAAACTCTTACACAGTACTTTTAGGATGGTGACAAGCAGAGTTGCTTGTGTTGATATTACACGTACATGACTACATGATGTGAATGGATAGATGTAATCATTTCATCATTTCAACAAATTAATAAAAGAAATAAATATAGAATATGCTTCATCATAGATAAGTACTACGTCAAAAACAGAAGAGATGCTACTGGCACACAGTTTGAACCATGATTGGTTTTACTTTTTCTGTTCTTTTGTAGTCTTGTCTGTTTCTGAACAAATCTTGGCTTATGCTTTAATGCTTCTCGTATTTCTTTATAGTCAAAATGACACATCAAACCAGTTGATGCTTTACAGCCCCTTAACTTGGTCAGTGTGTGTTGATTGAATCTGGAAAAACTCCACAAGAAACGCAGTATACAAACTCCACATGAAAATTAAGAAACGTGTGATTAGACACCACAAGGTGAAGATTATTACCTTTATACTCCTATCGGGTCCATTCCAGCAATGATCTCCATTTGTAAATATCATAGTTCTGTATGAGTCCTCAAATTTATCCCAATTCCTTAAATTTATCACGAGTAAATAAGAAAATTAGTTTCAGGACAAGAAAAATAAGGCACTGGTTAAACACTTCACGAACCCGAAGATATTGTTATTGCAAATGAAAGTTCCTAAAAATACACTGACAGTAGTAAAGAGATGCTTCAAGGCAACCATCAATTGTAAGTTGTAACTTCTAAATTTCATCAGTTATAAAAAGACAATCTGAACCCTATAGGCTTAGAATATGTACCATAAAGACATAAGAATCCTTACCCTAGATGACTTGTGCTATGGCCCTCAACTTGGGTAGCCTTTTTAAAAGGGCAAATATTATATGTGTACCTGAACAAACAACAGTCAATCGGAACAGCTAATGTAGAGAGCAGACAAAGCAAATTAATAGTTAAATAACGGCTGAATCGAGAAGTAATTAACTTGTTTTTCTTGATTTCAAAACATTGACCATGGAATGAATAGAACTCCTTCTGTGGCCCTGTAACAGAAAACTGACCATCAGGATTTGAACATAATATTTTTGAAAGGAAAACAGGGCAAGTAGCTCTCCCTCAGCAACATTTTATCCAAGGCCCTGGCATACCTTAAATTTTAGTAAATCTTATAAATATATATATATATATATATATATATAGAGGACTTTTCATGTCCAGCCGGCCTGACGGGAACCGCCGTCCGGTCGAGGGCATTTCGGGCACTTCCCGGTGGAATTTTTTGGTGAATTTTTTTGAGCATGTTCTTCATGAAGTCCAGTTTATCCATACCAAATTTCAGCTAAAACTTCAATCGGGAAGGCACTCAAATAATTTCTTGAAGTTAATTGGGCAGTTCATACATATAAACTGCCCAGTTAACTTCACAAAATGATTTTAATGCCTTCCCGATCGAATTTTGAGCTGAAATTTGGTATGGATAAACTAGACTTCATGAAGAACATGCTCAAAAAATTTCATCAAAAAATTCCATCGGGAAGTGCCCGAAATGCCCTCGGCCGGACGGCGGTTCCCGTCAGGCCGACTGGACAAGAAGACTACTCTCTCTCTCTCTCTCTCTCTATATATATATATATATATATATATATATATATATATTGTGTGTGTGTTAAAATTTGCTACAAAAATTTAAATGAGTGAATAATTTTCCCAGCCCACCCCAAATTCAAATTTTAAGGAGCCTTGGCCATGCCTATTGTATAATGTCTAGTAAATTTTTTTAAACATACCGAAATCATGTTTCAATTTCTTTGTCAATTTAGATATCCTCGACTGAAGCTTTGACAACTTAGCACTTGAATCATCATATTCTTTGCGTATGCGTGCAGCCTCTGCAGATTGAAGTTCAAAACATGAGTAACTAACAATTGCCTTTTGAAAGAAAAAAAGTGCATTGATATTGAAATGGTACCAGATATGTCTACTGGAGTTTGGAACAAATTGAAAGTCTGAAGAATTCTCTGAGCATTTCTTTTTATCTTCTCCAGCCAATGTGGATTGCTTGTGCTAGCTGTATCTGGAAAAATTTACTGTCAATTAGAACTAATGCACGCACAGCAAATTTTTGGGTGGAGTGATCAAAGAATAAATGTCTCACACACCTGATAAATCCAAGTCGTCGTCATCTGATGATGATGAAGATGGTGAACTTGAATCATGATCTTCCCCTACAAAATCATCCCCTTGATCTTCAGCTTCATCATCAGATAATAAAGGGGATGAATTTGAATCGCTGTGATCTTCCTCGCCATGTTCATCCATTTGGTCTTCAGTATCATCATCTGAGTCAAATGTACTGTATTCTTCATCATCGTCACCGTGATAATCTTTATTAGTCTTGTCCTCTCCAGATTCCTTCTCATTCTTTTTTCCTGTCCAACGAGAACCAACTACACGGCCCAACTCTTCCTTTGACAAGGATTCAGTATCTTCAGCTTCATCTTTCACCTAGAATTATCAATATTGAAGCATAAACCAGTAAAAATGTCATTAGGAAACAATGAACTATAAAGTAATCATACACGTTTTCATAGAACATTCAGTTGCACTAAGGTTTCAAAACATGTACAAACTTGAAATGCACATAAACTGAAATGATATAAAGCCTGAAAAAAATTGATGGAGATGCAAACCCCAAAAGCACACCCCTACACCTGTTAAGTATTCATACAAATATAGTAATATACAACCTGAAGTGATACAAGGCTCTGTACAAGTTCTAGAATAAAGGAGTGAAGTCCATTTAGCCATCTACCTCATTGGTGCTTCTAAGAACAGATCCATCATCATCTGCAGACAGATCCTCCTCTATCATGGCATGCTGTACATAATGAAACACATGTCGAGCAATTAATTCGGATGACTTATGATGACATTGCTCTTCAAAGTTGTCAAGGTAACAAAAAACACCTTGTGTGAGTCCTCTGCCACCCTCTCAGCTTCATTGCGAGAGGTTTCTTCCATTACTGAAGTGTCAATATTGTCAGCTTTGTCCACTTTACTGCTATAATCTTCTATCGCATTCTAATAGAAGGTAGAAGCATGTAATGTATGAAACTAGCATATTAGGGTGGATAAATAATGTCATTCATGCATTGCTGGATAGATAATGTACAATGGGGGGACTAAAGGTTGTAGATTAGTGCTATTATAATGTGTAATAATATCATATTAGCATCTTTAGTTGTTAATCATACACTAGTCTCTTGTCACTTAAAATAGAAGGGCACATTAGGAAGAATGTGTAATTAGTACTACCTGAGTTTTTATAGAAAGTTAATGACTTGATGGGAAATCCCGAGATAGAAAATCAGAAAACAATGTGGGGACAGGGCGAGAGTGGTTATGCTGAAATAACAAGTAAATGCAACCTCTACAGAAGGAGCTTTCTCTGAGGGGATATCTTCACGGAGGCCATCTTTCATGTTTACAGCTTCCTCATGGTTTTTCTCAATTTTGGTATCCTCCAACTTAGCTTCTTCAGTTTCTCTCTTTTCTTTCTCTTCCTTCTCTCTTTGCAATCGTTCTTTTTCTTCGGCCTTTTCTATCTGTTCCTTGTGCTCTTGATAAAAGGAAATAAACTAATGTCAGTACTCAGTAGAAACTGTGAATAGTCTGTGCCAGTATGATCAATGGACCTCAGTTGACACCAAACAGTGCTACATATATTGAGTGGCTTATTATATATTTTGACATAAACATACAGAGCTTTACCCCTCAATTGCTCAACTATTTCTTTAAGTATCTTCTCCTCTTTTGTTAGTTTCACCAATTCTGCTTCCTCCTTCAAAATTTCCAGTTTTGCCTTTTCAACTTCCGACTTCCTTATAATAACACCTTTCTGATATATTGTGATTCTTTTCTTTAACCTATCTCTAGCCTCCTTGCCAGCCTCCCAGCACATATTTGGGCACTTTGTTTTGCCACCATACTCATCACTCCCATCACAGCAATCTGCTCATGAGTGTCATTTGAAATGTCAAAAGTAAGTTCTTAGTTAAGTCTCAGCTCTGAGGCGTGAGGTACATCACTAAGGTCGGTTGAGATTACATTACTTCAATAGTTAGCATGAGACCATGAGAGTACACCATAGTAATCAATAATCATAATATAAGTTTTTTTCAACTTTGCAAGTGCTTAATGATAACCAGAAGAGGATACAAATGCATATTAATTCACGCGAAGTTTCGAAAGTCATAAAATTCGGTCCAGAAAACAAAGTTGTAAGTTAACTATAGTTGTTGCAGACTTTGTAATTGAAAACTTAAAACTTAAAAGAAAATGAGATAGGATAATTGGATGCATTTCCTACTACTGCACATCAGTAAAATTGCACCATATGAATATTGTACAGTTGCTGATTGCTCATTGTTAGGAGTCTATTTAAAATGACTATATTGAACCAGCTACTCGTGTGTCATGACAGTGCCGCTCAATTGCTTGAAAGGAACGTGGAGAAGTATTGTGGAAGGAGGCTTCATAGTTCCTACTATTATTATTATTATTATTGCTGTTATCTTATTATTGTTAATTTATTATTATTAGTTCCCGTTGTTTTTATTATTATTATTATTATTATTATTATTATTATTATTATCAGTTCCCTTTGTTAGTATTAGTTTCTTATAACTATTATTTATTACTAGTATTACTTTCCTATTAGTATAGGTATTTTATTTAAGTCATTACTCCTAGTGGTTGTATTGTACTTCATAAGTTTGTCGCATACAGTATTTGATAATGCTTGTATGTTCTAATTCATTCTTAATTTTTTAAACTTTATCAATTCAATATCAACCACATAATTTGACTTTTCTTAATAACCACACCGCCCCCTCTTGTCTCAATCTTAGGGGGGCGGAGGTAGTAATAGATCAGAGTTACTCAAAATACCGGGTCACCAAGCCCTAGAACTAGTATAAATAGATGTGATGTGTTCATTAATAAGATCATCAATATGGAGTTAAAAGTTATTCCTTGGAGTTACTAGGAGTTACGGTGGGAAATTCTTCATCTTTATTGACTTCAAATCTTTTTCTTTTGCATCTCAACCACGCCTCTAGGGTGAAAACACTATTACTTACTCATGAATGAAGGAGCCGAACTGGGTAGCTTAGCAAAGTTTTTCACCATAATGACATATTTTTAGAGCTACTATGATATGCGTACATAATTGACTACAGTGTACTGACTACTGAACAAGTAAGGGATGATATTGACTTGAGATTCAGGGTGTAGCTTGGTGAGGAGCTACACCCGTTTGATAGAGATCTTCAGAAATCCTCAATGATAGAGATCTTCAGAAATCCAGAACAGTTTAACAAGAAGATATCAAGAACAAACAGAAAAGCTTTATTGATGAAGAAGGTGAACAGTATCGGTAACCAAGGCCGTAGCCTCCCAATGAGCCGAAGCCCCCAAGAAAGAGAGTAGCTCTCGATCTCCCAAGTCCCAATTGACAAATGTCTAAAACAGTCTCCTTACTAACTCCCCCCTCCTGTCTATTTATACTAGAGTCCTCCCATACCTTCATTACAAATATTATTATTATTATTACATCTAATAAGTGGGTTCCTATCACCGTTCAAGGTAGGATCACGGATTCAAATCTTATCACCCCCTTCCTCCATCAAATGCACCCAGTTTTAATTTATTTAGTTACTCTAATAAAATAATACTCCCTCCGTCCCGCTAGACTTTGCCAGTTTTCTGTTCATATGGTCAGCAATATTACTTTTTATTCTTTAATTTTGAGAATTATTTTTTTATTGAATTCAAATTTTATTTTTGCGGTTCAATATGACTTGCAGTGTAGTTTCTAAATAATAAAAATAATAATTTAAATTTATACCGGGATAGATTATAATTATTATCAATCACCATAAACCGCAACAGGCAATGTCCACCACCGGGACGGAGGGAGAAACATAACCCCGAGTAATCACCATTAATCGAAAGAACTCGGTCCTACATATCATAGCCCGTAAATAAATGAACAATTAGTGGGTTTTATTTCATTAACCCGTATCTATCATTAAACAATCCACAAGCTTGTTGTCCCCTATCTCACATCTTGCTTGTGAGTAGACATTGATAACAATTTTGATTCTTGTTCTTGAAGTAAAGCTGCTGGCGTAAGTGGCTGATAAAAATGGTGAGAGACAAACTGACAAAGTGCACAATTGCATAGAGTATATGCGTAGTCCCAACCCAATGACTAATACATTCACATAATACCCCAGTTAGGCATTTCACTGTTTCAAGAGAAGCTAATGAGCAGCAGCAACAACAAATAACAACATCCAAGCCTTAGTCCCAAAAGAGTTTGGGATCGGCTAACATAAATCGATATATGAAATCGGATCTTGGCATCGTTAACCCTTGATGAATGAGCAGCAGTGACAAAAAATTATGCATACCACAGATACCATCGTTAACCCTTGATGAATATATAAGAAGGGGTGTATGTCCAGCATTTCGGCAATAGAACTTGCCACTGGGGCATGCTGAGGTTCCTGCACAAACGTCCTCCAAAATCAGTCAGAACTCTAACACCACAAAATATAGTTCTTGATTCTCACTGCTCCGCATGGATTGAGATGAACCCACATAAATCTATGAATAACAATTAGATTCACGCTGTTTGGAAACTCGCTTTATTTTATTTACCTAAGCTGCGTGAGGTGAATCATCCATCCAACTCACATTGATTCTCTTCTGTTTTTGTTCCCCAACACGTGGTCTAATCGGGATGAATGTTTCATGTTATGCTCTATTAATTCACCTCAACCCGAACAAAACTAAATAAAAATTTCCTCAGATAGGTAGAACTGTTATTACCCAAACAATTTTTCAAGACATTTACTCAGGCGGGTCTATTTTTCTTTTCAAAATTTTAAACTATATTAGGTGAAACTCCACCCCAAGTAAACAGTAAATAACCAAAAACGACCAAAAACTAAATGCAACAATTCCAAAAGTTTCAATGACACACATACACACCAACAAACGCATAAATTATAAAGGGATGTAGGGAAGAGGAAGACCTGGCTCATCGGAGCCATCAGGACAGTCACAGAAATCATCATTGAGCTGAGCCACACTGAATTTATTAGATCCGTTTTTGCATTTTATAGCAGCTCCGGATGACAATCCACTGTAGTACTGCTCATCTGAACACAAAATACATATTATAAGAACTCAACAAATCATACAAATAAATAGATGGGAATGGAGCCTGAGAAGCGGACCTTGAGGAGAGATTCCAAGGAAATCTCTGGAAGGGAGAGATACCACTGATCTGCTGATCAACCGAATGCAAAGCAATGTCGACCAGAATAAGAGGGGTCGAAATCGTAGCACCATCCTCTGCTCGAATTAATTGAATGTGTAACAGTGTTTAAGTAACATTTCTCGCGGTATATTTAGAAGAGTTTTGCGGTACACAAAATACCTCAAGCATTTTTCTATTTAGAAAGCATCTGAATTACCATAAAATGGAATTATAATGTTATATGTATATGTACCACTAATGTAGAACCGTGGTGCTCCGAAGCAAACTGAACAAGCAGATGGGTGGAGGCGCCGACCGCGCTGTCTGAAGATCGCCAGAGATGAATGAGACTGGCAAATGAGCAGGGCCAGGCAGCGAACCAACCCAGAATCAGAAAGGTGGAACCTACTTCATCTTCATTTCATTTCTAATGGTGTTTGGAAGTGCTTCTGCTTCTTTTCAGAAACTAGTCTCCCCCAACTTCTAAAAAAACTGATTTTAGGAGTAAATTATAGCACCAGAATCACTTCTACACTTTCACCCAAACACTCCAGCGTCTGCAAGGAGCAGAATCAGTTTTAAGAATCAGATCCAAACACCCCTAAATACGGAGTACATAGTAGAAAATACCAAAATAGCTAATTGCATAACCAGTTAAATAAAAACAAACTTTGTCAAGTGTCATTTCTCCAACAAGAGCAGATAAAAATTTGTTTTAAGTTTCTTGTTTTAAGTTCCTAAATGAAAGAGATATTCTAAAAAATAATATTGGCGGGGGAATATTTTATTAATATATATTTTTGTTTCTCTCTAAGTAGAGCTGCCAAACGGGCCAACCCGCCCCGCCCCGACCCGCGGCGGGTTATGAGTTTCACGGGTCGGGGCGGGCCAACCCGCTTACTATCGGGCCAGAATTTTTATGACCCTAACCCGACCCACCTAACCCACGGGTTATGCGGGCCAGACCGCGGGCCATAAATGTCAAAACAAAACAAAAAACAAATAAATATCTAAATTAAAATCCCAACACAATTGAAATAGCAATTAAATATCTAAATTAAAATCCAAGCACAATTAAAAAGGAAAAAATTAGTGCTTGAAAATCCTTTGGTTGTATGTTTGAATGTATCATCGTGGGTAACTGGTATACTTAAAAAGTTAAATGATTAAATACTTAAAAGCTTTAATGTATTATCGTGGGTATAGTTAAGCTGAAATACCAAAAATACTTATTTTCTCATTTATTTAGTCTGATTTGGATATCATGAATAAAACAGCATAGAAGTCCTTATGTTATAAAACAGTATAGCAACGAATACATTAAAAATAAATTATTTAGTCTGATTTGGATATCATGAACAAAATACATTAGTATTAAAAGTGAGGAAAGAACTAGAAGTAAAGAGAGTATAATAGAAGATTTAATTGTCCTATATAGAAATAATAGAAGAGAAAATAACTTTAAATAATACCAATTATCTTCCATGAACCAAGAATAATACAAACTTGAGAAATAATTTTTAATAATACCAACTATTTGATTATCTATCAAAAGTGATATATAGCAAATTTTTACTAAAAATTCATTTATTCAATTCATCAAAAAATAATATCAAAATATCAAATAAGTGATCATATTTTCAAATATCAATTATTTGATGATTTGATCTTAGTTTTTGATGTCTTAAATGATTGAATTTCTTGTAGAAAAGTGTCTATTTTATTTTGGTTCACATCCAGTTAGTTGGTATTATTAAAAGTTATTTCTAAAGTACGTATTATTATTGATTTATCGAATATAGTTGGTATTATTTAAAGTTATTTTCTCATAATAGAATTAAAAATACATATAATAAATGATATTTGTCCTCAGCCCGCGGGTTGGCCCGCTAAACCCGCAACCCGTTAGGGTTGACCCACTGAGCTCGCAAAACAATCGGGCCTGAAAATGATAGCCCTAACCCACTTATAAGTGGGTTGAAACGGGCCAACCCGCGGGTTTCGGCCCGTTTTGACGGCTCTACCCTCTAAGGTTTTATGGAGTTAAGTTGTTTTGTGTTGAAGTTAGAATGACAGAAGAATAAAGTTTGTAACTATTGAGACCAATCTAAAAAGATATTTAGAGAAGGGAAATCAAGACTCTTCTTTCAATGTAACCCTGTAAAAGTTCTTATCGAGATGGTACTAGTCCACGGTTTTCAAAACTTTTGGGATGTGGTACACCCTCTAGTAGTTGATAATTGTAAACAAGTTTTTTATGCCACCAAGCTACCTGAGGGAGTAAACCTAACATTGTGCTTTTTTCCAAAAAAAAAAAAAAAAGATAAACCTGAAATGGTAGCTGTTAGGAGACCAATTTCATTGTGCAAAGAAATTGGTTCTTAATAGAATTGTCTCTCTTGACCAAATTGCGTTAATATTGGGCCGTTGAATAACTGGTAATATTTTTATGGCCTTTGAATCGCATTTTTACCTCAAGAGGCAACATCAAAGATGATAGGGATTTGCGGCTTTACAATTAGACATGAGCAAATCTTATGATCGAGTTGAATAGCCTTTTTAAGAGACGACGATGGTTAGATTCGGCTTTGTAACTAAGTGGGTGGATGTGGTCGTGGATAGTTCGAACAGTAACATACTCCATTATGTTTGATGATCTCATGCATGGACATATTAAAACTACCAGAGGACTAAGGCAAGGTGACTCGCTGCACTATATTTATTCATCTTGATAGCGGAACGTTTGAGTGCTCAATTACACAAAGAGGAATGCATTAAGTGGAAAAGCTGGCAAAATTGACGAGGTGGGCTCCAAGGATATCCACTTATTGTATGCGGGTGATAGATTTCTCTTCTTTTTAGCTTCACGTGAAGAAATCTCGATGCTTCAAAATCTTCCTAACGACTATGAGGAAGCACCAGGACAAAAGATAAAGTTTCAGAAATCCACTTTAATTTTCAGCACTAGCATAAAGCAAGACATTCGGGAAGGTTTTTACTCGAAATATTTGTTGTGAGTTTAGTTGTAGGTGGAGCTAGATATCTTGATCTTTCATCCCTTGAGAGAATGATTAAGAGAGAAGTGTTGGTGTATAATTGTATACTAAAGAAAATGTTATCAAATGTCTTAACAGTTTGAATCACATATTCTTATCTAAAGCAAGCATGAGAGTTCTAAAATCAGTCGTCTATATGCACAATTGTGCTAAGCATTTGGAGATTTCAAGTACCCCGAAAGTGAAAGTTTTCTTCTTGCAAATTGGTGCAGGTTGTCTCTCAATGGCAATGTTCGAAATTGCGTATTGCGTAATCATGGCGGTTTTTTAAAATTGCATATTGCGTAAGCCTCATTGCGCAATGAGGCGTATAGCTGAGGCGGAAGTATATATATATATATATATATATATATATATATATATATATATATATATATATATATATAGAGGAATGTTCATGTCAGGCCGGCCTGACGGGCTGCCCCGTCCGGCCGAGCCTGTTTGGGCACCTTCCCGGTGGAATTTTTTGATGAAATTTTTTGAGCATGTTCCTCATCAAGTCTAGTTTGTTCATACCAAATTTCAGCTCAAAATTCGATCGGGAAGGTTGTCAAATGATTTTTGCAAGTTAACTGGTCTGGAATATGTATTTTCCGGACCAGTTAACTTGCAAAAATCATTTGACGACCTTCCCGATCGAATTTTGAGCTGAAATTTGGTATGAACAAACTAGACTTGATGAGGAACATGCTCAAAAAATTTCATCAAAAAATTCCACCGGGAAGGTGCCCAAACGGCCTCGGCCGGACGGGGCAGCCCGTCAGGCCGGCCTGACATGAAGAGCACTCTATATATATATATATATATATATATATATATATAGAAAAGATCCTGTCCAGACGTCCGGACAGGAGCCGCCGTCCGGCCGGCGGCGTTTGGCCGCCTTCCCGGTGGAATTTTTTGATGAAATTTTTATGGCATGTTCTCCATCAAGTCTAGTTTATCCACAAAAAAAATCAGCCAAAAACTCAATCGGGAAGGTCGTCAAATGATTTTTGCAAGTTAACTGGTCCGGAAAATACACATATTCCGGACCAGTTAACTTGCAAAAATCATTTGACGACCTTCCCGATTGAGTTTTTGGCTGAATTTTTTTGTGGATAAACTAGACTTGATGGAGAACATGCCATAAAAATTTCATCAAAAAATTCCACCGGGAAGGCGGCCAAACGCCGCCGGCCGGACGGCGGCTCCTGTCCGGACGTCTGGACAGGAGCATTCCTCTATATATATATATAGAGTAGTCTTCTTGTCCAGCCGGCCTGACGGGAACCGCCGTCCGGCCGAGGGCATTTCGGGCACTTCCCGATGGAATTTTTTGATGAAATTTTTTGAGCATGTTCTTCATGAAGTCTAGTTTATCCATACCAAATTTCAGCTCAAAATTCGATCGGGAAGGCATTCAAAGAATTTTGTGAAGTTAACTGGGCAGTTTATATGTATGAACTGCCCAGTTAACTTCAAGAAATTATTTGAGTGCCTTCCCGATTGAATTTTTAGCTGAAATTTGGTATGGATAAACTAGACTTCATGAAGAACATGCTCAAAAAATTTCATCAAAAAATTCCACCGGGAAGTGCCCGAAATGCCCTCGGCCGGACGGCGGTTCCCGTCAGGCCGGCTGGACATGAAAAGTTGTCTATATATATATATATATATATATATATATATAACAAAAAACATTATTCAAGAGAAACCAACAAATGCAATATTAAAACAAATCATAATGTTGTAACAATCTTAGGAAAAATAATCCAGAATAATAACAAAAATGTCTGAAACGTCATAAAATATTATAAGAACTGAAAAAATATGTTGATAAGTTTTGGTCTTAATCGAACTATATATTGTAAATAAACTATAGAGCTGAGTACAAACTATTGGTCCTGTTGAAAGCAAACTACAATAACTGAAAGTCTGAAACTATTCGTCTCGTTGAAAGAAAACGTAATAAGTGAAAATAGTAGCAGTACAAACTACAATGTTCAAGTTATCATTATATTTAAATATATAATTACTGAAAGAACATACATTGTAATATTGGTCCTGTTGAAAGCTGAAAGTTAACAGCAGGAAAATCATAAAGTATTCAAAGGCAGAAAATTAATTTTTTAATATTTAGTATTAAATTCATAAGACACAAAAACTAAGCATCAAACAGAGAAAAGAAGTTGTACCTGTTAACGCATGCATGGTCTCGGTCAACATGCACTAAGGAACCTGGCGCACTATTGTGACTTTATTATTAGTATTAATGTCATCAGTTATTTACTCCTATTTGTACGCCTAGTCATTAGGCTATAATTCTAGTGCGCAGCTGTATTCTTATCATCATGCGCTTAGGATGATTGTAGATAATATTTACTTGTACATTGATAGGTTAGCCTTAGCCGATCCTTTACAATCG